TTTCAAACGGGCCGGATCCGGCCCGCGGGCCGTAGTTTGCCCACGGCTGGGCTAGGCCCTTCTGTTATGCTAGAGGCCTTATGCACGAAATTCGTCCAAGGGCCTTGGCCCCGCCCCCTGCCACTGCAGGCTCCCCCCTTCCCCCACCCACGGCCAGGGGCCTCTGCTGCCTCTACCGTGGTCCCCGCCCACTGTGGCTTTGTCTGGAAGGAAGGATGTCTGGTCTAATTAGCATATTATGCTTTTACTAGAGGACCAGTGCACAAATTCGTGCACGGGTGGGGTCCCTCAGCCTGGCCGGTGATCAGGGCTGATTGGGGCCAATCGGGGCTGGCCAGCCAGGGAGAGGGACCACAGGAGGTTGGCCGGCCACAGGAGGTTGGTTGTGGGAATGCACTGACTACCAGGGGGCAGCTCCTGCTTTGAGCATCTGCCCCTGGTGGTCAGTGCACATCATAGCAACCGGTTGTTTGGTCAACTGATCGTAATGGTCGCTTAGGCTTTTATGTATATAGATTATTATAGATATGCATAGCCAATGGACACAGACAATAGTGTGGTGAAGGCAGGAGCTGGGAGGAGGGGGGCTAATGGAGGGGAGGAATTTTGAGAGAGATCTGTAATACTCCTCAGCAATATTTTTAAAAAGAAAAAAGTTTTACAGATCTGTTGTACAACAATATGGATATGGTTAACAATACTGTAATGTATACTTAAAATTGTTAAGAGTAAATTTATATTGCGTGTTGTTTTACCACAGTTTTTAAAAAGTGGATTGTAAATCCATAGGAAAAGCAGTGATGGTAATAACAAGGCAGAAACCCATGTTTGCTAAGAATACATAGACCAATGCTTGTTTCGGCAGCCCATATACTAAAATTGGAATGATACAGAGATTAGCAAGGATGACATGCAAATTCGTGAAGTGTTTCATATTTTTGCCTGGGTTGTGGGCTTGATCCCTAGTGTGGGGTGTGCAGGAGGCAGCCAATCAATGATTCTCTCTCATCCCTCTCCCTTTCTCTCTGAAATCAAAAAAAAATATTTTTTTTTACAAAAAGAAAGAAAAAGAATACATAGATCAGGGTAGTTCAAGGAAAATGGAAAAGCAAACACATTTTTATTTCAACAAGACAGTTGAGTCCTAACCGGTGGTTCAATGGTTAGAGCGTCGGCCCATGACCGAAGGGTTGTGGGTTCAATTCTGGTCAAAGACACATACCTGGGTTGCAGGTTCCCCGCCCTGGTTGGGACATGTGTGGGAGGCAACCAATTGATGTGGCTCTCTCATCTCGATGTTTCTCTTTCTGTTCTCTCTCCTCTTCCCCCTTCCCTTCCACTCTCTCTAACATCAATGGGAAAAAATATCCTCCATGAGGATTAACAACAAAAATTTGACCACCCACAGCTCATGATATTCTTATGAAGAAATATTGATTGGATGTTAAAGGGATTATGCAAGATAACATTTCTTTGAAGCATCTCCTCACCCTCACTCCTATGTTGCCAAGTTTCTCTCTGAAATCTTTTGAAATCTGTTCTCCACTCAATTTCTCCTGTTACTGCCCATGTTCCTGTTCTTAGTACCTCTCACCTGAGCCATTGCATTAGAATAGGCTCTCAACACACTTCCCCAAAATCGTGCAATCTTTCCATCTCCGATTCATTTTTATTGCTACTACAAAGTTAATTTTGTCTGTGATTAAGTTTTTCTTTTGATCAAAAATTTTCACTGCCCCCTCATTTGCCTGTAAAATGCCAAAGTATTAATTAAACAACTAAACTCCATAATTCTAATGGCGCCCTAGTCTGACCCCAATCTACAATTACAAATTTATAGTCAATCTTTTTCTATATATATTCAACACTTGGGCCAAAATGAACCATCCATGGTGATAGTGGCTGCCAGCCACCATCTTGGCTGACAGTTAATTTGCATAAGGATATGCTGATTAGCCAATGGGAAGGGTAGCAGTTGTACGCTAATTACCATGTTTCTCTTTTATTAGTGTAGATGTGTGCGTGCTTGTGGGAGAGGGCGGGATTTGTTTGTTTCTAATTGAAGTATAATTTACACACAGGAAAATGCCAGTAAAATGTCCACTGGTTCCCCTGCCTTAGGTACATCTGTGAAACCGTGGAGAAGGTCTAAATATCCCCATAATTATCCCCTCAGCTGGCCGCCAGGGACCACCCAGACCTCCGAACCTTAAACTCCTCCAGGCGATTATAGATCTTTTCCACTGCCCTGTCCAGAATGATGTGGTGATCCTTCATCGCTGCTATTTGGTGGCCCCAAACTTTCTCGAGTTCCTCCTCCTAAAAGGGGGAGACACAGGCATTCAAGGCCTCTGCTCCTGAGGCCACCATGGGTGAAATGGGGCTTGAAGGGTGTTCCAGACCAGTATAACTCCAACCTGCCATCTGCCGCCCGCCCCTCTCCCCACAAACCTGCCATCTTTCCCTCCCCGCAAGCTGCCATCTTAACAACTCTGGGACTCTTACCCACAGCCTGGGACCCTGCACCAGCTGGAGCAGTATGAGGGGCTGCAGCTGCCTTCTCAGCCCCTCGCTGCCCCAGGCCTCCTTTCAGCTAGAGGACAAATGCTCCAACTGGTTCTGGGTCATAGAGTCTGCCATCAGCTTGCGGATGGGTCGTTTTAATAAAAGCTCTTTCTGCCCAGGACACTGACCTGTAACCTGGATTTCTGGAGGTTGCCAATCTTTTCTTGCAGTATGTCCAGTGTCATCCCAAACCTGGAAGAGCTTCCCCTCTCAGCTGAAAGCAAAGGTGGGGTGACCGTTGGGGGCAGGGATGGAGAAAGAGGCTTTGTTTAGACCTTCACCTGCTTCTGTTATGAAATGTCTGAGGCGGTGCTGTCCAACAGAGCAATACTGTGCTGTGAGGTGGGGGCCTTTGAGGTCATTTAAAATTTTCTAGTAGTCACATTTTTTTTTTGATAGTAGTCACATTTAAAAAATCTAAAAAGATGCAAGTGACATACATAGTTTTTTTATTTGTTTTGTGTGTGCATTGTGCATTAATTTTATTTTTTGTTTATTTTTAAATAATGTTTTGGTTTTGGGTTTTTTTTGTTTTTGTTTTTACATTTTTATTGATTTCAGAGAGGAAAGGAGAGGAAGAGAGAGAGAAATATCAATGATGAGAGAGAATAATTGATCGGCTGCCTCCTGCTCACCCCACACTGGGGATCAAGCCCACCACCCGGGCATGTGCCCTGACCAGGAATCGAAGTGACCTCCTGGTTCACAGGTCGATGCTCAACCACTGAGCCATGCCGGCTAGGCAATGTGTGCATTAATTTTAATAAAATATTTTATTTAACCCAATATATCTAAATAGTATCATTTAAGTATGCAATAAAAATTACTAATGAGATATTTTGCATTCTTGTTTCTGTACTAAGCTTTCAATGTCCACTGTGCACTTCACACTTAGAGCACATCTGAACTTGAACTCGCCCCATTCCAAGTGTCTCCAGGTTATCATATTAGAGCAGGCCTAGGGAAAACTCTCTGGAATTTACTCCCCTCCCCAAAATGACCCTGAGCAAAATTATGAAATACCTTATTTAGAAGTATGTTATTCACCACAAAATAAAAAGAAAGATTTAACAAAAGAGGAGGGGGGTAATAAAAAAATAGATACGCTGTATCCAGTTCCAGATGAGAGGTCAAAAACGAATGTACAGGACAGAACTATGAATGTATGAAAGTTACAGCCAAGACATGTTTATAACCTAACTATAGTTTCCTTAAAATAACAGCTGGTCAGAGGTAGAATTTGGGCTACGATGGCTTTACATTTAAAATTAAATTCAGAACCTTAGCCATGCCCCAGTGTTCACTGATATCAATGTGGTTCTTTGTAACTATGTGATGTTCTCCTTTTTCTTTTTAAGATTTGTGAACAGCACTGCCCATTGGGGTGGTGCCACACATGGGTTGGACTTAGATTAATTCAACTATTGTACTTGGCAGAGAGCAGAACAGCAAGGTAATGATTTACAGAGGGCGGGGAAATGGGTCTCCGAGGAGGTCCCCAGGCCAGCAGCATTTCCCCAGGAAGGGTTAGAAATGCACATGATTGTGCCCCTCTCAGTCGCCTTAGTCAGAAACTCTTGGGTGGGCCCACCAGTCTGTGCTTCACCACGCCCCCTCAGGGGGTGTTGGGGTGAGCTCAAGGGTGAGAACTGCTAGAGTAGGCCACTGTGCCCCTCTGTCATCACTGCGCATATGCCCATCATGGGCATGAAATGGGAGCATAAATGTACTGGTCCCACTGACACCTAGAATGTGACTGTGGTGTTTAAGGATCCATATGTATACCAGGCAGTTGTTCTTAATCCCAAATTGACTGCTTCATCTGGGGGCTGTTCAGTGTTGCTGGGCACTCTGGGGATCTGGACTTACCAAAACACTGTGTCTTATGGGCTGTTGAAAGGGAGATTTTCAAGACTAATTTTGACGTGCAATTTTCCTCTTTAACACGTTAAGCGCCCAGCCTGTTTTGTCTTCCGGACGGGAAGTATAGTGTCAGTCACCGGTGACTGGGCGCTTAACATGTTAAGCACCAACTTTAGCCTATAACTGCCCCTCTCTCCTAAGATAAGACCTCACTGTACATTCATTGTAAAGAACAGACTAGACTAGTAAGAGGCTAATGCTTACACCAAAGTAATGAATGGCGAGTGGCTGAATGTAGATTTTGTTGGGAGCAGTTAAGCAAAAGGAGAGGAGGTGCTGCTTGAAGGCCCTGGGGAGGGCCCAAGCCCCTACCACACTTCCCAGAGCCAGTCTGGGCCTACCTAGATGAGCTATGTGATGTTTCATGTGGGATGACAGCTGGTCAAACTCTTCTTTCAGGGAGTCGTGTTTAACGGGTATCTGGGCTCTGTGGCTCACGGAATACTTGATGGCCTTCTTCTTGTCTTCAGGAGCTATTGTCTGTTTGGTGACCAGCGTGGCCTGGGACAGCTCAGTGTCAGGAGTGACGAAGTGAGTAGCATAGGTAGAAGCGACGAACTCTTCATAGCCCATCTCGGCCTCATCAGTGATTGCCACGGAGGGTATGGCCCCACGGGAAGACCCAGCACCCATAACATCTGCAAAGATCCCTAAGGGTCCAGATGCAGCCATGCTTGTTGCTACAGAGGCCAGTTTAGTGGCGGGGGCATCCTTGACGACCAGGGCTGAGGACTCAGCTGCCCGGGCTGCTGAGCTCGCGGCAGCCGCATAGGCGGCGGCGGCAGCAGCGGCAATAGCAGCAGTAGTTTTCATCCGCCGGAGGGCGGTCCGGGCACTCTTACGGGGTTCTTCTTCAGAGGTCTGAGCAGCAGGGGCTCCATCCTGAGTGTCTGTCTTGTACTGTAAATAATCTTCTTCCGTACCTTCTGAGAGAGATGGGAGCTGGGGCATCTCTTCCTGTGACTCCAGTGTATAAGGCCAGGCTGAGCCAGGCTCTATGGCTGGTGGTGGGGCCCTGAAACCCTGGGAGTCCAATTGGCCTGGGCCAGGCTGAAAGTGACCTAAGCCCCAGAAAGGCCAACTGCTATAGTCAGGCAAGCCTCTGGGAGGAAGCCCACCTGTTGATAGCATAGGCCAGAATCTTGGTGGTGTGGGCCAAGGGCCTGGGGCAAGCCCAGGTCCAAACTCAGGCCCAGGCCCAGGGGGCATGGGTTCAGGGGCAGGCCCAGGTCCATACATAGGCACAGGTCCATATGGAGTCTCAGGTCCATACCCAGGTCCATACCCACGTCCAGGTCCATATATAGGCCGAGGTCCAGGGGCAGGCCCAGGGGGCATGGGTCCAGGGGCACGCCCTGGTCCGGGGGCAGGCCCAGGTCCATACCCAGGTCCAGGGGCAGGCCCAGGGGGCATGGGTTCAGGGGCAGGCCCTGGTCCGGGGGCAGGCCCTGGTCCGGGGGCAGGCCCTGGTTCGGGGGCAGGCCCGGGTCCATATATAGGCCCAGGTCCATATGGAGTCTCAGGTCCATACCCAGGTCCATACCCAGGTCCAGGTCCATATATAGGCCCAGGTCCAGGGGCAGGCCCAGGTCTAGGGACAAACCCAGGTCTGAGGGCAGGTCTAAGTCCAAATGCAAGCCCAGGTCCATATGCAGGCCCAGGTCTGGCCATAGTCTTCGGTCTGAACCTAGGCCAAGGTGGTAGTATGAACCCAGGTGCCAGACTGGGCTGTTGTATGGGCTCAAGGCCAGGCATGGACTCAGGCTCTGGTCCCGGCAGAGACTCAGGCTCAGGGCTAGGTCTGGGTGCTGGCCCATGGGCAGACTCCTCCTTCGGTTCTTGCCCAGGGACCGGATAATGCCAAACGGTCTCCGAGGGCCTGGGGAGTTGGAAGGCCTCTGAGACCTGGCTGGGACCAGAACTTTCGAGGAACATGGTGGTCTGGGGAAGTTCAGGCTCTGGGAGCTTCTCTGCAACTTTCCACATATCAGAATCTTCCAGCTCTTCTGAAACATCTCCCTGTTGAACAGTTCCCTGTGGAAAAGGGAGCTGGGGTGGCCAGGGCTGCACCAGGCCAGCTCAGCGATCACCCTGCCTGTTCCCTCACACCTACTTCCTCCTCCTCCATCTTCTTTCACTTACCGGGGTGAACAAGGCATCGTGGAGGCTGCTCCAGAGTACCAAGTCGTCAGCTTTGGGGATGGTGCTAATCTTGTTCTGGAGAGCAGTCTGGGAGGTGAAGGAAGGGGTTGGAAATAAGGGATGTGAACCTGGAGGGTGTGATACCCTTGCATGTGGCTCCCTTGTCCACACTGCCCTCTATACTTGCAAATGAATGGGCCTTTCCAGATTGTGCTCCCCTTCTGACCCCTCCCCATGCACGGCACCCCTGGGCCTAGAGGTCAGGGGAGCAGGGAGGGAGGATGGGACCGAGTCTCTCACCACATCCCGCTGCAGCACATTTATCTTCCGGTTCTGCACTTTCATGTCATCAAAGAAAGTGTTTATGCGGTCCAGGTGTATCTGTCAAATAAGCCAAACCCATGCATCAGGAGTGTCAGTTCTGGTCTCAGCCCTGCTTCTCCCACTGCTCAAATACAAGGACTTAGCACTACGTGACTAAGAGTTGGAGAAGGAAGAAAAAGTGTTTCCCAGAGAGTGAGAAAGGGGTCAAAAAGAGTTCCCTGGGCAAAAAAGTTTGGGGAATGTTGGGCTTAAAAAAGCACTCAATGGGTTTTTGTATTGCAGGACTTCTCAGAGCTTTTAATGGGCAAAAAAACATTAAGGACCTCCAAACCCAGCCAGTATTGCTCAATGGTTGAGCATCAACCTATGAACCAGGAGGCCACAGTTCAATTCCCGGTCAGGGCACATGTAAAACCTTGGTCCCCGGTAGGAGGAGTGCAGGAAGCAGCCAATTAATATTCTCATCACTGATGTTTCTCTCTCTCTCCCTCTCCCTTCCCTCTCTGAAATAAATTTTTAAAATATTAAAATAAAAAAAGAACTCTTACTATTTGCAACAGCATGGATGAACCTGGAGAGCAATACGCTAAGCGAAATAAGCCAGTCGGAGAAAGATAAATATTACATGATCTCACTCATTTGTGGAATATAATGAACAACATAAACTGATGTACAAAAATAGATACAGAGACATAGAAGCATCAAACAGACCATCAAATCTCAGAGGGAAGGCAGGGTACAGTGGGAGAGGGTGGTAAGAGATCAACCAAAGGATTTGTATGCATGCATATAAGCATAACCAATGCACAAAGACAGTAGAGGGGTGAGGCCATGCGCTGGGGGGGGGGGTGAAAGCAGGCAAAGAGAGGACAATGGGGGGAAAAGGAGACATATGTAATACTTTCAACAACAAAGAATAAAAAAAAAAGAATCTCTAAGAGATTGGTTAAGAGGCATAGCTTCTCAAATGGATTTGTTCAAGGGTCCTTTTTAGTGTGTCATGACAATGCCCTTTCTGCTCAGATGGGAGCTACCTCGCCCAAGATTAAAGTTCTCATAGTTGCCATGATGATCAAGTGTATACACGGACCTGTGCATTGAAGATGATGCTTCAATCGTATTATTTGGAGGCAAGCTGTAAAACCTCCGCCACAATACCAGCCTGGGGGTGTAGAGAGCTGGCTACTGAGCCCAGTTCTGACTCCCCAACTATGAGCTCATACTTCAGAAATTCCATGTCTTTTCACATCATGGTAAAGAGTTAGAACATTCCTGGGTTGATGTCCTGGGGCTATAGAGGGAGCTAGCATGTAGGCCGTGCTAGGTTTATTCTCTGCCTCAGGGTAAAAAGAGCTTTCTAAAAGAGGGAGAGGTGCCCTCTTTCTCCTAAGTTAATGGAACATAAATAAGCCTAGAGTAGCCAAGACGTAGGGAGTACCTACCTACATGAATATGAAGCCAACCCAGAGGAAAATCATCACTGAGAGAAGTACTGATGTGGTATGAACACCTAGATCTAGCTGTACCTGAAGGCATTCCTGTACTTTTTAGTAAATGAGACAATAAATTATCTGATTTTACCTAAGCCAGAATGAACTAAGACTCTGTCACTTACAAATGGTGTCAGAGCATAGCATGGTGAGGAGCATAGCATGGCGGAAGCCACAGAGAATTCAGTGGGAAGGGCCAAGTGGCTGGACCATGTCAGTCCCCATCTCCTGCCCCGATGGCTGTGTCCTTTGACTAAGAATGGGCTTCCTAGATTTATCCTGACACCCAACCACCAATGGTCCGAGCAGCATGGCCAGCTTGGAGGATGCTGGGGAGGGTCTACCTTATTCCACATGTCCTTCAGCATGTCCACATCCTTCCTGAGGGTTTCAGTGGCAGCCTTGAGTGAATTAATGTCGGTGAGCAAATCCTGCATGGTCTTCATAGCCTGAAGAGGGAGAGAGGAGGAAAAAAACATGAAGTTGTGTGTGGCTGGGGGAGAAGGCAAGTAAAGTATGGAAGTTCTCTGATGACTGCCATGGTCCAAGAAGTCCTCTTGGCTATCCCAAGGCCTTTGCTGGAATATACGCAGAAGCCAACAAATGACAGTTGAATCAACAGTGCTCTGAGCTCTCAAATAGCCTGGGTGGGAAGGAGGCAACCCTGTGTTTGAATGTATTCAGTAACCAGGAGCCACTCATTATGAAGCACCGCATGCCCTTTGGTGGGAGCCACTGGAGATCAGCAAAGGAGTTACGATTGGATCTGCTTTTTTTTAAATCCTCATCTCAGGATAGGTTTTTTTATTTTTATTTTTATAGCGATTTTAGAGAGAGAGGGGAGGGGAGAGAGAGAAAGAAACATTGATGTGAGAGAGAAACATTGGTTGGTTGTCTCCTGGACATGCCCCAACTGGGGATTGAACCCGAAACTAGGCATGTGCCCTGATCAGGAATTGAACCCACAACCTTTTGGTCCATGAGACAACACTCCAATGGACTGAGCCACCCAGCCAGGGCTGGTCTACAATTTTAGAGGGTCCTTCTGGCTGCATGTGTAACCAGGGCAACAGGGGAAGCTGGACGACCAGTGAGGAAACTTCCAGGCAAGAGCTGATGGTGAAATGCTGGGCTCATAGCTGAGTTTCACCACTGACTGGAGCTGCTACTGCACCTTTCTAAGTTTTTGATTTCTCAATCATAAAATGCATATAAAAATGTGATCATGTATATAAAAAGTCTAGTGCATAGTTAGGCATTCAGCTAACAGAAATAAAAAATAGCAAAATGGCAGAAGTCCTTCTTTTAAAATAAAATAAAAATTTAATTCTCACCCAAGGATATGTTTATTGATTTTTTAATGAGAAGAGAAGGAAGAGAGAGAGAAAACAACAACAACAACATTGATGTGAGAGAGAAACATTGATGGGCCCTATATAAGCCCTGACCAGGGATTGAACCCACAACCTGTATGAGATGATGCTCCAATCAATTGACCCACACCGGCCAGGGCCAGAAATCCATCTCATTATTAATTATATTAAATGTGAATGGCAGAGATTGATATAATGAATAAGAAAACATGATCCAAACTCATAGTGTCTAGAAGAGACATATTTAGATTCAAATATGCAAACAGGTTGAAAATAAAAGGATATAAAAAGATATACCATGCAAGCAGTATCCAAAAGAGAACTGTAGTGACTATATTAATATCAGACAAAGTAGACTTTAAGATAAAAATTGTTATGAGAGACAGAGAGACATTTATAATGACAAGAGGGTCAATCCATCAGGAATACATAATAAGTAAATATATGCACCCAACAATGGAGCCCCAAAATACATGAAGCAAAAAGTGACAGAACTGAAAGGAGAAATAGATAATTCAACAAGAATAGTTGAAGACTTCAACACTGCATTTCCAATAATAGATAAAAACAACTGGACAGATCAGCAAGGAAATAGAAGATATGAACAACACTGTAAACCAATCAGACATAACACATCTATAGAAAACTCCACTCAACTATGGCAGAATACAGTCTTCTCAAGCACACATAGAATATTCTATAGGACAGATCATAAGGTAGGCCATAGAACTAGTCTCAGTAAGTTTAAAAAGGACTGAAATAATACAAAACATGTTCCCTGACCACAGTGGAATTAAATTAGAAACTAATAACAGAAGAAACTATTAGAAATTCATAAATATGTGGAAATTAAACAACATTCTCCTAAATAACTAATGGGTCAAAGAAAAAATCACAAAGGAAATTAGAAAACACTTTGAGATGAATTAAAATTAAAATACAACACAAAAATCTGTGGGATGCAGCTAAAGCTATGCTTAGAGAGAAATTTTAGTTGGATATGACTATATTAACAGAAAAGAAAGATCTTATATCAATAGCCTAATCTTCCACGTTGAGACACTGTGAAAAGCAGAACAAACTAAAACTAAAGCAAGTAAAAAGTGAAACAATAAAGATTAGAGTGGAAACTAATGAATTAGAGAATAAAAAATAACAGAGTAAATCAATGAAACTAAAAGCCTGTTCTTTGAAAAGATCAACGAAATTATGCAGTGCCTACAGTAGGGAACTGACTGATGTTTCCCTCCTTACCTCACTCCCTCCTCTCCCTTTCTCTCTCTCAAAAAATCAATAAAAACACATCCTCTGGTGAGGATTTAAAAAATTAAAACAATTATAAAGGAATACTGTGAACAATTGTATGGCAACAAATTAGATAAGTTGGAAGAAATGGACAAATTCCTAGAAAGACAAACTACCAAACCTGACTCATGAAGAAATAATTTTTTAAAAATATATTTTATTGGTTTTTTACAGAGAGGAAGGGAGAGGGATAGAGAGTTAGAAACATCAATGAGAGAGAAACATCGATTAACTGCCTCCTGCACACCCGCTACTGGATATGTGCCCGCCTTTGACCGGAATCAAACCTGGGACCCTCCAGTCTACAGGCCGACCCTCTATCCACTGAGCCAAACCGGTTAGGGCATGAAGAAATAATTTCAAAAGACCTAAAGAAGTGATGAGATTGAAATAATAATAATAAAATAGCACAAAAGAAAGGCCTGGGCTCAGATTACTTCACCACTGACTTCTAGCAAACAGTTAAAGGAGAATTAATATAATTCTTCACAATTTTTTTAATAGAAAAATTCCAAACTCATTCTGTGAGGCCAGATACCAAAATCAGACAAAGGCATAACAAGAAAACTAGAATATGGATGCAAAAATCCTCAAAAAAATATTAGCGAACTGAATCCAGCAACACATAAGAATATTCTATATAACCCAATTAAAAACAGGCAAAGATCTGAATAGACATTTCTCCAAAGAAGATGTACAAATGGCCAATAAATACATGAAAAGATGATCAACATCATTACCCACTGAAAGGGTAAAAGAGAATAAAATGGGGCAGAGGAAACGTATTGTCCTTAGTAAATATCTTGCAGAAAGCTTGCAGCATTGAGCTCCGCATAGCCTACATCAGTGGTCGCCAACCTTTCGGACCTCACGGACCACCGGTTGGCGACCGCTGGCCTAAATAACTAGGAGACACCTGGCACCGCCAGTCAAGCTCTGTGTGTCAGCAGAGACTGCCTGCAGCCAGCAGAAGCTGATAAAAGTCTTGCCTCTCCTTCAGTTTCGGATTCCGCCGGTCTGCACCCAGGCACTTGAAATAAAATTTCTTCTGATACATTACGGCCTCATGTCATTGGTGCGCGACCCCGACCCACTCAGAACCTTTCACCCATCAGGGAAATGCAACTCAAAATCATAATGAGATACCACTTCATTCCCACTAGGATGGTTAGAATTAAAAGTCAGATAATAGTAAGTGTTGGTAAAGATGTGGAGAAACTGGAATCTTCACACACTGCTGGTGGAAATGTAAAATGACGCAGCTGTTATAGAAAACAGTGTGGTAGTTCTTCGTAAGATTAAACAGAGTTACTATATGACCTAGAAAGTCCACTCCTAGTGATGATGTACCCAAGAGAAATAAAAACATAGGTCTATAGACTTGTACATGAATGTTTATAGCAGCTTCATTTATAATAACAATCCAAGTATCAATCAACTACAAATGGATAAACAAAATATGATATACTCATAATATAGGTTATTATTCAGCCACAAAAAGGAATGAAGTACTGATGCTATAAGGATGCACCTTGGAAACATTATGCCAAGTGAAAGAAGCCAAATACAAAAGACCACATATTGTATGATTCCATTTATATGAAATGTCCAGGCAAATCTATAGAGACAGAAAGTAGATTAGTGGTTGTTTATGGCTGGGGGTGGAGTGAAAATTGAAGGAATAGAGTGGTGATAACTAAAGGGTACAGGGTTTCTTTTTGAGGTGATAAAAATATTTTTTTTCATTTTTTTTTCTGTTCATCAGATTATTTATTCACTTGATTTTTAGATTTACTTGTTGATAGATGTGTATATGTTGTTCATAGTTTGTATCTTTACCATTTTCTTCTTCTTCCTCTTAAAGGATACCTTTCAGCATTTCATATAATACTGGTTTGGTGGTGATGAATTCCTTTAGCTTTTTCTTATCTGTGAAGCTCTTTATCTGACCTTCAATTCTGAATGATAGCTTTGCTGGATAAAGTAATCTTGGTTGTAGGTTCTTGCTATTCATCACTTTGAATATTTCTTGCCACTCCCTTCTGGCCTGCAAAGTTTCTGTTGAGAAATCAGCTGACAATCGTATGGGTACTCCCTTGTAGGTAACTGACTGTCTTTCTCTTGCTGCTTTTAAGATTCTCTCTTTGTCTTTTGCTCTTGGCATTTTAATTATGATGTGTCTTGGTGTGGTCCTCTTTGGATTCCTTTTGTTTGAGGTTCTCTGTGCTTCCTGGACTTGTAAGTCTAGTTCTTTCACCAGGTAGGGGAAGTTTTCTGTCATGATTTCTTCAAATAGGTTTTCAATATCTTGCTCTCTCTCTTCTTCTGGCACCCCTATAATTTGGATGTTGGTACGCTTGAAGCTGTCCCAGAGGCTCCTTACACTATCTTTGTATTTTTGGATTCTTTTTTCATTTTGCTTTTCCGGTTGGGTGTTTTTTGCTTCTTCATATTTCAAATCGTTGACTTGATTCTTGCGATCCTCTAGTCTGCTGTTGGGAGTCTGTATAATATCCTCCATTTCAGTCAGTGTATGCTTAATTTCTAGTTGGTCCTTTATCACAACCTCGAGGGTCTCACTAGATTTCTTGAGGCTCTCATTGAGTTTATTGGCTGTTTCTAGAAAATTCTTGAAAAACCTTAAAAGTGTGGTTTTGAACTCTATATCCAGTAGTTTGCTTTCCTCCATTTCTGTCATTTGTGTCCTGTTCCTTTGTCTCTGCATTTTTTTATGCTTCGCTGTGTCGATAGAGTGGCTTTCTGTACTAGGT